ATTCTAAACCCTATTGGTATAATAAATTTCTATAAAATCAATAACAATAAATTAGAGATATAATCTAAACTATTTTTATATATATATAAATCTGGTTTAAACTAGCTTTATAATACAAAATAGTTACAGATTTATCTTTACAATAAATATATAAAATGGATTAACTAACCTGATCTCTAAATTGTAAATACTATAATGACTTTGATCCAGATTTAATAATTTATATCTGGATTTAATTATTTGATCTGAATTTAATTATTTGATCTGGATTTACAGCTGTTATTATTATTCTTAAAACATCTTATAAAAAATTAACTGAATGGGTATTTTGCCAATTTGATAAATTATTGATTTCAGCATGATCAATGTAGACCAGAATAAAATCATCATCCAAAAAAGTTTCAAAAATCATATGAAATTATCAATTCATGATTAGATCATTATAATAATATTTATTAAAATATTAATGTTGTGACTGAAGTTAATACCTGACTGGAGTTGCAACTTCAGTTGACTGAAGTTGCACCTGACTAAAATTAACCCCTAAAATTAGATTATCTTGCATGCATTAGTTAGCAATTTTAGGCAGGTGTAGTTTCAGTTGGATGCCAATTTCAGTCACAACATTAATACTATTGATTCTTTAAATTGAAAAATAATCATTAAAAGCATGAAATCCAATGAACACACTATTCTAAAAATATATATTGATTGCTGTAACCAAATTCCATTACAATAAATGCAAAAAGAATGAAATCCAAAATAAATTATAAAAACTAATCAAGAAATGCAAATAAACCAGAAAATCTTGTAGATTTAATTTTTAATATGCTTCCAGAAGATTAGAACTGATTATTTATTTGAATCCAAGATGCAGCAACAAAAAATTATTGAAGAAAACAATAGTAACAAATGGCTCGGAAGTATTAATAAAAACCTTGTGCTATTGCACAAATTGGAGGATTATAATCATTTTAAAAGGCAATGGAATATTCCAAATACTTAGAAAAACCGTAATTATAATATTTTCTGGCCATAATAAAATATTCCGTTTATTGAACAATTTGAAATAAATAGAATGATTAATTTATTACTTATCGTTATTACTTTGTTAGTCTAAATTTTTTTGTTTGTATTTTTATGTTATAATTTTTTAAAAATAGTTTCGAGGTTTCGGATTATAGTTTCGGAATTTCGGGTTTGATTTTTTTTAGAAAATCCGAAACTAGTTTCAGATTAGAGTCTCCTGAAACTAGTTTCGGGTAGGTTTCGTTTCGAGTGCCAACTCTAGTTTGTTCACGCCCAAATCCAAACTCTAGTTAAACTAATATCTCAAAAATTTTATCAAGAAACTTTATTTAGATAAATGATGTATGTTCTCATAGATATAAATAATATATTCGCAAATTATCAAGATTTTTTTGGGTTAATTTTTTTAAGCAAATTATATTTTGAGTTTGGAATTCGTTCAGCAAGTATGATTCTGTTTGTATGGCCACATAGCTGATTAGGGAATGAAAACGTATTGATTATTATTCTTATATAATTATCAATGTGAATGTACTGGCTAACAAGTAAGAGATCTAATTCAAATTAAACATTTGCACAAAACTCGGTAAATTCATTATCATCGCCTGTTTGTATATATGTTAATATATAAATTAGCATTAAAAAAATATCAAATATTATTAAACTTACATTCTTTTCCTTCAATAAACCATTGAATTAACGAATCAACCTTAATAACTTGATCTATAAAAAAATTGGTTAGCTTATTAATTTGAAAAGTAATAATAATAATGATGATTACCATGTCTTCCAGTAAAAAAGGTAGTTTCCAAAGGAAGTTCAGAAAATTTATGTCCAATTACATCGCAAAGCTTTGCAACTCTTTCATAGCATATATAATAAAACTTAAGATGTCGCTTATTGTTGTTATTATCAGTACAAATTATATAGTTGCCTAAAAGAAAATATTGGCATCGCTTTTGCATTACAATATCCTTTGTACAATTTTCATGTTTTTTTATAGTTGTAGCTAGTTTTCCAGCAACCCAATCACTTTCCAGTTCCTTAATAAATTTTTCTTTATCAACTGATTGTTCATAATTATTTTTTAATTCTTCAAAGTTAACTGTTTCCAGAGTTCCGTCACGAAGTTCATTAAGAATTCTAAGACAAGAGTTAATAGTAGATTTTGGTAACCCTTCTTTTCATAGATTAATATCGTTAACTTCTTGCAATTTTTGTTTTTTTGTTTTGATCTGTAATCCATAGGCATCTAACTCTTCCTCCTTTTACAGTTATAAATAAAATTATTATAAGTAATCTATTCATCTTATTTTATTATAAAAGTACTAATTTTTTATAATAAATAAAACTAGGATAAGCTAAAAAAAAAAAAAACAAAGAAAAATTTATTTATATCAATTTTTAAAAAAGGATTTACTTACAATAACATTTTTTTTATCTAAATTATTCCACAACTTGACAAAACTCTCAACAACTTTTTCTGGCTAAAACATTTTAAAATATTCTATTATTAATTTTAAAATTTATATATCAAAAATAATCTATTCGATTATATTCTTTGGATTATAATTTTTTTTATATTTATTCGTTACTTAGATAAATATATTTAGCATCCAATCGAGGAACATTATGCTATTTAAAATTGAAATTTTGTTCAAACCAAATAGTCTTATTGCCAACCTCATTAAAATCTCTAATTTGTTTTGTAAGATCAGAGACTTGCTTATTAAGGCTTTCAACTTCTAGTTCAAGGTCTTTATTCTGTTTCTCAATATCTGTTTTATCTTTTTGGACGGATCGTGCTGGTTTTATTTAAAAGTAAAATAAAATAATATGCTTGAGTAATTAATAATAATTTCCTTTAAAAGCACATATAATTTGCAAAATTGTTGCAACGCCATATAACTAACTATCATATTAAAATTATTTTTCGTTTATAACTTTGTATAGAGTAATATCAATACCTGCACTTCTTAAAGTTCGAATGTTTGAATCTTCGTTACGTAGAATAAATATAAGTAAAAAATATCTTTTTTTTTTTTAAAAAAAAATATATATATATATATAATAAAAATTACCTTGGCTCATTTTATAGTAAATTCTTAAAAATAACGTCGATGCTAAAAGTTATTTATATACTGCATATATTTATATGATAAAAAAATGCCAAAAATTGGGGGCAACTTTAAAATAATATAAGTGCGGTATAGTTTGATAATCTCACTTACGTGAGCATAACTGACGATTATGTATTTATTTATATACTGTATATAAGTGGTTACAGAGTAAAAACCTGTAACTACGTAATCATAGTAAAAACCTGTAACTACGTAATCATAGTTAGGATTTAGGATTTTTAACTTAAATGTAGTTACATATATTTTTACTGATATAAATTTTATTGTAAGTTATATAAGTTCTTAAAATATCAAGTTGATGTTAATGCAGGTAGAAATTATCACATTATTCGGCCAGCTTTAATATCTATATTGTAACTTATATAAAGGCCATGTAAGTTGCAGCGTAGCTTACTATAATTTGTCATGTAAAGTTGGGGTGTGCGGTGTACTAAGTGATCAAAACTATATGTGATCATATAATAAAATTTATTAATAAATATTTTTCGATAGGTAATAAAATTTATAATAATTATTAGAAAATTTAAATAGATGCACAGCTCTAATAGTTTGATAGATTTGGTGAAATTTTGCAAAGACCAGTATTATGTCTCTACAAATAAAGTTAGAGACATTTCTTAAAAAATAAACTAAATACTTTATTTCTTGACTTTTTTTAAGAAAAAAAAAAAGCAGCATATTAAATTTTTTATAAGTAAAAGAAACTTGGTTTATAAAGATGTAATACTGTTTTTGTGAAATTTCAACCAAATCTATTGAACCATTAAAGCTGTGCATATATTTAAATTTTTATAATAATCATTATAAAATTATCACTTGTTTAAAAATCTTCATTATTAAATTTTATTATATGATTATATATAGTTTTGGTTTACTCAGTATATCATACACCCCAATGTAAATTATGTTGTCAGATAAGTTTAACAATCCTAATCATAGTAAATTATTAAATACACTTACAAACAGGTTTTTATTTTGTATATTCTGAATTGGAACTAGCTAAATTCTAGTCCTGAATAAATATTTATTAGTATGACTTAAATCATGTTAATAGTTCTAATGTTAATGTTCATGTATAAATGAAATTTAAAAAATAAATGATAATAATTTATAAATTTGATCTGATCATTTCTATTATATTGTTTTTTTTTTTTTTAAATATTAAGGTGAGTACTTGTGACCCAGGATTTTACTGATAGTACATTCAGCTAATGGTTGCATTACAACCACAGGGGGCAACCATAGAAAGAGTGTACAACTAGTCACTCGT